GCAACTTGACCTCATTTTCAGCTCCTTAGTACAACTCATACAGTGGTCTCAGTGAGGTACTCCATACCCTGTGACAGTCCCCTGCAAGCCTGGCTTTCCATGCACCATCTCCACAAAACTGACTCCTAGGACCATGCTTCTTGGTCCAACTCAAGTTAAAAGTTTTCCTAGAGGTTTTTCTAAATGCCCCAGCTAGGCAGAGAAGCTGTCTTTCTCCCCCATTCTGCCATCACTTTCTTTGTGCCTCTGTTATAATGCCTTTCCATCCACCTTGTATTATAGACATGTGTGAACATATGTGTTTCCCCCATCATCCTGCATGCCCCAGATTTCATTCATCAGTCTATTTCTCTCTCTATCTGTCATACAGCAGGGCTCTATATATGACATCTCTCTCTCTCTCTCATGAGTATGTGTGTGTATATATATACACACATACACGTGTGTGGGGGTGTGTGTGTGTATGATGGAACATTTACAAAGCACCTGAGTAAGGCAGAAATAAACAATGGGAAGACAAACAAAAAGGCTATGGTAGAAATGAAAATCAATGTTAAAATTAACCATCTCTACAAGTGCCCTGAATTACAAACATACATGCCTTCTCGATTACTATCTTCACCCCAACAAAAAAAAATGCTGGAGAGCCCTAAGAGAGAGTTCACATGGAGTGATATTATTTAAAGTTTGGAACTTGAAAAGGGTACTTTTTAAAAGGCTTTCTACCGAAAACAAAAACAAAAACCCTTTTTAAAAAAATCTACCAATAGAGCATGTCTTTCTACAGATAAAAGCCTCTAGAAACAACGACTCTCAGCCAGAGCTAAAGAGCACCTGGAGCTGGGTTGAAATGCGGATTCTTGAGTCTTACTCTGGAGATTCTGATTCTGTAAGTCTGGAGAGGAGCCAAAGATGTCAGTCACCTTGAGCCATTAGGGTAGTATCTCAAAACTACTGACATTCTGGGCAGGTAATTCTTTGCTGGGAGGGGCATTGTGAGATGTTAAGCATTTTCCCTGGCCTCTCCCCACTGCATGCCAGGAGCACCCACCCCACCCCACTGTTAAGGCCACCAAGCATGTCTCCACACATTCCAAAATGTCTCCTGGAGGGCACAATCGTCCCCAATTGAGAACTAGAGACAGAAGCTGCCCAAAGATGACACACTTTGAGAAATGCCATCCTTAATCAAAAGGATAACACGATATGATAAAAGTCGAAGAATATGGATATTACGAGCATACATGGTATCAACTGAAATAAACAGGCTTCCCATAAAGGAAATCTGATTAGCCACTATAAATTCCTGACAACTCAGCTAAGCTTCTAAGTCAAAGCTCTTCTTATGTAATTTCAACTTGAAGATTTTCTCCCTAGCTTCTATTTTAAATTATTTTTAATTAACTTTACTGGCATTTTGCATCCTGCTATGAAAAGTCCGCCTAATAGTCTCAGAGGACTCTCCCAAGAGAGAAGAGTGCATTAAATCACACATTATCACATTAAAGAATATTCCAGCACACAGCCCAACAGTCTAAATCTTGGCAAATGCAATGCAGGGGGGGGCGGTGTAGGGACTGGAACAGGCTCAAGTGATTCACAGTATCCAAAGCTGATTATCTCCAGTTCACCCATCCGTAGGAAAAGTTGTATTCTCTACTCCAAACCCATTTATCACAATGACATATACTATATGTTTACAACCTGTGCTTCCACCCTGATTTCTACTGACTGTATATGAGACCTTGGGCAAGTCATTTAAAGTCTTTGGACATCCCTTCTAAAAAGTGAGCCAGTTGGACTATACTATTTCTAAAGATCCTTCTAGTTACAAGTTGCAAATTTATAATGAAGCACAAAGAAAAGGCTCTTTTTATTCTTTTGGAGTCTAGTAACTTGCACAAAAAATGACAATACCTACATTTTCAGTGTTGGTAACACAATGAATTTAAGATGCTTAATCCAAAAGAGAAAAAAATGACAATGAGATGAACCACATATACAAGATCCATTCTCTCTTAAAACAAAAATCAGTTTGGCCCAAATTGTCCTTCACTTATCAAGACACTTATACACAGGTACTTTCATGAGACAGCAAATCATATCCGTCTTTCAGAAGTTAGTCAGAAATAGGGAAACAGTTTTCAATCACACATTTACTTTCTATTTTGTGTAATAGAGATCACAAATCAGCTGCTTAGAGGCCATTTCCAGCCTGCAGGTGTGGTTGTTTTCTGTGGCCTGAACAAAAAGTGTATTTAATTAGTTGCCAACTTCTAAAAAGGGAGGGATGATACATTTAAAAATCCCTATTTCCAGTATCTCTTGAAATGCTGGAAGATATTAACCCAAATGGCAATGATGAGCTGGCGCTGAGAAGCACTGCCTCCCGGCCCACGAGCTTGCAAGTGGCCGCAGTTGCCACTGCTCCCTACCATCCCACACCCAGACACCCATCTGGTTCCCTCTGATAGCCAGGAGCATATGCCCTTATGTCATTGCTTGGTAACAATTTTCCAAATGCATAAATAAGATTTTTAATGCTTTCAAAGCAATAGAATTGTGTTTGCAGGACACAGCAAAAGGATAGAGGTTGTAAAGAGACAGAGCTATGCTCTCAATAAGAAAAACTCCTCACTATGAATCTGAGAAGTAGAATGTGCCACACTGTAGGTTTCTAACTAACCACCTGAAAGGCTAGAAATTCTAGATTTGATGGGGAGTTCAGACTAGAGACCCCCTAAAACTACTTTCAACTTTAACTTTATATGCCTTTGGTCAGCAGTACAGTGAGCTGAACACAACACAGTGATATATGTATGGGTTACATCATACGTCTTTGTGTACGTGTGAATACATGCATATACATGCACATAAATACATACATATTTTTAATTGTGTTTGCAGGGGAAGACTTGATCTTATCGTTGCCCTTCACGAAAAGACATGTTCTGGTAACTTTCATAAAGCATTCCATTTTTCTCACTGATTGTAATATATACAATTTTAAAATTAGATTCCTATTAACTAAGCAGCCATATCTTACCAGGTAATTATTAAACTATTCTTCAGAAAAGATGATAAAGAATCCAAGGACAGAAGGAGGAGGATGAAAGAACTCAAGGAAGCACCTACAAGTAGAGAGGTCTGTGAGCAAAGCTTCTCCACTAATGTCTTTACCAATAAAACCAGTCTAACCACTGGCGGCTACATCCTGAAGCTTTCTGCCTACCTACTTGCATCCATTTTTTTTTTCCAATACAACTTGTGAAACCTACCTGTTTGAGAAACAATGTTTTAACAAGATTCTGAGGATTTTCTGTTTAAAAAGATCAGCTTTATAATTAAACTGATGTCTTTTGAAAGGATGCAGTGAGTCAAATTTGAACTAATTTAAAAAAGCAAAACTAAAAAAAACAAAAAACAAAAAATAAAAAACTGTTGCTGAGGCTAAGCCAATTTTCAGGTAAAATATAACCCGAGTTTCCACACTGATCATGTGTGTGTTGTATGCAGTCAACACTCGACATTCTCCTTCAGACCATTCTAGAAGCCTGGTTCTTAAAATCAGATCAGACACCTTACAGCATTACATCTGCACAGGTGCACTAAATGTCACTGCAAGACGTTCTAGCTGACTTTAAAAATGCATGTCATTGCAGATATCACTAGTTTCAAATCGTTTTTCTAGTGTGTTTGAGGATGATTTCTGACATAAGCATTTGTTAACAACAGTGATTAACAGCTCAAGTGTGAACACAAACAGCCCATCCCTGAGTCGATACGACTGCTAAGGGCATGCCTCATGACAAGAAAATGATTGTGTTGGCCACACAGTATGCGGAACATGGGCGACTTCTGGGAAAACATGTTTATCCTTCTGGGTTCTCCAATTTTCTGATTTTTCTCTCTGTTCTCTGTTTAGAAAAAAGTGACTCACTGTTTAGAAGCAAAAAACAATGATAAACATAATTCAGTTGAACAGCCCTGAATGCCAGAACATTTTAATTTAGCCATGGATGTTTTCTGCTTTTACCTATTGTGGGTTCAACATTAACTTCTTCCTTTCCACTTTTTACTGCCTTAAGGACAAGAATCCCAAGAAACCCACTATGTAATTGTCAAGGGCAAGGTGGGGAGGTTGGGGGGAACTTACCAGACATGCTTAAAATCATGAGTATCAAGTAGGTTTTTGAGCCCTAGAAAATTAGTTTGTATCTGTGTCATAACTCTTTAAATCAGAACCACCCTAAGACGACAATGCATCAAAGGAGTAAGATCCTTGCTCTCTGTCACCATTGAAAACCTGAAGTATGTTACCTTCAAGACAAAAAAGATAACCATACTGTCTGAGTTGTTAATAAGCTTGTCAAGGAAGTTTTCCCCAAATAAAAGTATTTCCTTTACAGGCTGTGTATGTTTATACTTTGGAAGAATATGAAGGGCTAATTCGTTATTGGAAAGCATTTCTTTTAAAGTAAGTTTATTCAAAACAATGGTTATTGAAAACGTATGCACGAACCATTCCAAAGCAATTGGTCACAGAAGCCCGGATTATCAGAGTTGCAGAGGAGCCCACAAGAAACAGAAAGATGAGGGGAGTGCAAGCTGGCTCAGAAAGCAGCCTAAGTCTTGGATCTGAGGAAGAGCCAGAACTGAAGAGAAGTAGGGGGAAGAGCTTCAGATCCCACACAGCTGAGTTAGGCCCTGAAATGCATAGGTTTAAGAAAGAAGTAATTCTGCCATCCTGTTTCTCTGCAGCCAAAGGAAGGGGGAGTGGAGGCACCAGCGGATCCCGCCCTCTTATCCGGTTGTTGATCTAGGGCAACGATCCTGGAGAACTTGCTTGGGTAATGCTAACTATGCAAAAGTTCACAACTCCAAGGGAGGATCGGTCCTCGCACCAATAATCCACCCGCAGACCCCCATCGGTAAACGTGTGAACACACTTTAAAATGCAGCAATGACAAAGGAGCCTGCAACTTGCAAGCGGCACTCACCCTGGGCTGGGGCGCCCAGCCCGCCGCCGCCCGCCTCGGCCCCGCGCTGGGGCCCGGGAGCGAGGGCTTCGCCCGCGCCGGACATGGGCCGCTCCTCCGAGCCCT